AAACACTTTTTACTAGAAAAATCATATAATTCAGTTGCTCACCTGGAGTTTCTTCATCGCCGAGCCATCCTTGTTGAAATACAAGTCTTTTGCAGCTGCTGTTATTTGAAAGGGACGTGTTTTTCTTAAATCAACATTCTTTCTCCTCCCAAGTGAGCTAGAAGATATTGAAGCAAGGGAAGACAATTTGTTTGATGAAGCTGCAGCTTTATTATCTGTGATTCTGCAACCAGAAGCAGCCAAAGAACTAACTGCAGACATGCCGGCAAAAGTTGACGCCATTTACTCCTTAAACCTGATATCAGCAACCAACAAACATATTTAAATAGTTATTACCACAGGATCATAAGACTACTTAAAATTGAGCACAACAGGCAACCAAATTTCACAGACAACAACATTCATTTTTTTTTTTTTTCCTGATAGAACTGCCTGTATCCTTTATCAGTACTCCCAAATATCCATGGTTAGAGTTATTGAAACCAAGTACATTGAAACTTACTCTTGGAGAGTGCTCCCAATATGAATGCAGCTCAGGAATATATCGGCCACTCAACAGCATACACTATGAACTACTTTATACTAATTCAAACCGTACCTCAATAATCTAAAGTCTAAACAGTCAACTTTTGGGAAATAATTGGATTCTCAGTTGAAAGAAAGGCTTGTTACACAAGAATACAAAGATTTCATTTGTTTTCAATTGATTTCATCAAGACTCAATCGTTCCAGCTGAAAGATTAACTAAAATTTCGCCTTTCTTAAGAAAATGTTATACAATACCGGCAGGCCTCAAGTTCACCATATAAAAAACGCAGCAGTTAAATAAAACAACCACAGATACAATTCACAACCCTGAAACGGTTATACAAAATTGAGTAAGAAATATAACTTCAGAAGCAGGAGCAGATATCCAAATCCATATGCGATACAAGTATAACACAAATAACAAAACAAACTCACCAGATAATGGATGAAGAATAGAAATTGAGTTGCTGGGCAGGCTTTGAATTGCAGGCAAAGGACGAAGGAGTTTACTGAGAGAGCATAGCAGATTTGGTTGTTGAAATGGATTAGGTTTTTAGTAGGGGAGAGTGAGGGAAAATATGAGAAGAAAAAAAATAAAAAAAAAAAATAAAAAATCAAGGGATCAGTTTGGTTCTTGAAGGTTCCAGTTCATCTGAACCGTTCGTTNCAGTCTAGAACGTTTGCACCACTGATTTGAATTGGACAAAAACGGTCGTCCTCGGTCTAACTAGGAGCACCACGCATTGAGTTTTTTAAAGAAATATCATATGCCATATAAGAGTTATATTTAATTTATATATATAAAAATTATGCTCCAATCCAATTTATGTAGCAATAAAAACAATATTAAATTCACTTTTGGAGCTATTTTAAACCCAAATATAATTTTTTTTTTTAGAACGATAGATAACACAAATACAAACCTTCAACAATTATTTATAATTTTTTTAAATAAAAAAGAAGATCGTGAAAAATGTTGGCGGGTATCAGACCTCTTTCTTTTGCTCAAACCTCTTTGTGTTGGCGACTTCTTTGGGCAGATATAAATTTTAATTTGAGAAGATCAACATAATCCCAAGTTTTTTTTTCTAAATATTTATTATTGCATGTCCCCCACCCAAATATCTATTATTACAGCCGAATGTACAAATCTTTATGTTTCATTGTTTTTCCTGTGCTAAAAGTTCACCGCAATGAAATCTGCTCATTTTTTGTTTGATTTAGGCCTTCCGTTAACCAACTTTCATGGTGTTTTATTAGATTTGTTTCCAACCATTCATGATTTATAAGACGTATATCATGCTATTATAGTTAGTTCTGCTAAATAATTTGCCAAAAAATATAGCTCAACAGACGGGACGTGAAAAATGGAGAGATCATTCATATCCAATTTTTTTCTTTTTTTCTTTTTATATTTTGATATTTTGTTCTTCATTTGAAGACATGAAACATAAAGATAATGATAACCAATGGTGTACAAAGCAAAAGGTTCCTCAATTACTAATATCTTTTTTATATGTGTTTTTTTATATACGAATTTGCAAACAAGTAAAAGAAAGAGAAATTATAGTGTTTATAGTAATTTTGAAAATAGCTTCACCTTTTGTGTAATTAAACTGAATATAAAAAAGATAGTAGCAAATCCTGGACACCGTTTAGTCTACTTTGTATGAAACTTGTGGTATATATAAACACTAATAGAAGAAGATTTAGGAGATATAGAGCTTAGAATGCAACATTTAAGTGAAAAATAAAGATCATAGAACACATACACTAGGTACCTAATTACAGAATAGAAATATAAATGATGATTTGATATGGCAATCAATATTATGCTCCGGTATACCCACTTTTGTGTGTGTTATTTTAGTTTGTCTACAACCTACCTCATCTGGCTAATCTTGTATCTTTTGCAGTCCTCAAAATGTCCTAAAAATTGGGAAACATAGTGTATTGTTTTTATTTAAGATGAAGAATAAACAATATATTCATGTGACAGGTGTGTTTGTGTGTGTGTGATGTGTATGCAGTGAGTTTTGTTTGTCTTTGTTAATGGGTGAACAAATTTGGCTAACAACTTAGGTGTGTAAAATTTATTTTGATAGTTTATATTCTTGTTTGTTAAGCATCTTATAATGGTGAGCACATAAAGAATCATGTTCTGTGAATGACATTTCAGTTTCAGTATCACGTGAAATTCAACTCTTTCAAACTTCACCCTACTTGTATTACTTTTACATCCATTGGATAATGAATTCTCAAGATGAGAATATCCTGGGCATGTCTCAAATTGAAAATGCTACAGAAATGAATGAAGTTAAAACAACGAGTGAGATGGAAAGTATATATGGTACACCACAGGGTCTCGCGGGAATGATCAATCCATTTGCTTATCTTACTCAAGTGTTTCAACCGAACTTTGCATACAATCCAAAAAGATGCATCTACATCTCCTCCAGCCAGCCAAAAAAATGGAGTGAGTTTATCATATCAACAATTACTAAATGCGTCCATGTACCCTTTCCAACCGACACATATCTACCTTGCACAAAATGCTCATGCGCAAAGAAAGAAAAAAAAAAAGGCTAAGACGAAAGACAACGACTTCATTAGCTCTCAAACTCTTGAAAAAGACAAATTCAATAAGAGTTGGAGTAAAAATGAAGATATTGCATTGACGAAGGCCTGACTTTATATTTCAGTTGATGTAAATGTTGGCAATAACAAAAAAAAATGATGTATTATGGAAACGTGTTTTTCCTGTTTGAAAAGAAAATATGGGAGCTGAGTGTAAAGAGAAGTGAACGCCGTGAGCTTGCAGCAACGTTGGAAAAAGATTAATCAGGCTGCTACCAAGTTCAATTCATTCTAAAAAGAGTTAGATAGACTTCCAAAAAGTGGTACTAACTTGGATGATATGGTTAGTTTCTACACTTCATGTCATTACAATTAAGTATAGATTTTATTTAATTATTTTTTTTGTTTTGTTTTATTTTCTGTTTACTCTTTATCATTCCTAACGTGTGATTCTAACAATGCATTTCAAAAGCGAGAAGCAATTCGTATGTATAAAGAGTGCACTGGCAAAAAAGAATTCCAATTTGAACATTGTTGGGAGACATTGAGAACAAATATGTAGTGGTGCATGAATAATATGACAAAAAAAAAAAAAAAAAAANCACATGCAAGGGCACATCATTAATATATATTATCCCAGATGATAGTCATCATGTGGACAATATTAATGGGATTAGCAAGACTAATGGCATTGTGCATCCCCAAGAAAGAAAAGCATCTAAGGAGAGTAAAAGAAAAACCAATGAAGATGATGGTGCGGTAGATGCTATAAAAGGTTTGCGGTCCACTTTTGAGAAAGAAATTGAGTTTAAAAAGAAGAGTAGCAAAAAATAATTTGAATTTAAGCAGCACATAGCGAATCAAAAGATGGAAGTTAATGCTATTGCTGAAAAAAACTAAAAGACCAAGAACTCCGCGAAGAGCTCAAAAGAAAGAAGACCAAGGAAAAAGAATTGCATCAAAAAGAGCAACTTGAGAAGAAAGCTCAAAAGGGAGAAGAGAAACTTCGTATTATGAGCATAGATATTTCCAAGCTTCCAGAAATTGTACAGAAAATGATTGAAGTGTGTCAAATGCGATACTAAACGAATGGGAAACTGGTGGTCTTTTTTGAGAAAATGTAGTAAGTCCATTATTTACTTTAATGTCTTATGTTGTTTAGTCGTTCTTCCATTTGTCTTCGGTTATAATTTTTACATTGGTGTTTCCATGTAGGTAAATAAACCATTGGCAGAATCTTTTGTCGGAGAATCACGCACTACTAGAGAGACAGATTCAGACAAGGAGTGAATCATTTATTGTTTATTTTTAGCTTAATGTAGGGTGGACTTGCAAATTAAGCTAATTAGTGTTTTAGTACATTTTTCTGTGATTTGTTTAATGATCCAATGCCGTATTTAAGTCTCATGCAAGTTTTGTTTCTATGAATGGTGTGTTAGTACATTTTTATTATTTGTTGTGGTAGATTATCAGTTCTCTGTTCTTTTGTAATTCGTGTGTTCACTACTGTCTTGGTGGAAAGTTATCAACAGTTATATGGTTACTAGTTTTGTATTAGCATGAACGAACTAAATGCAGTGTGGCTCTGCATGTTAGTAGAATAATTTACTTATTCTTTTTGGGCTTGTAAGTAGCAGAAATAGTGGAAAAGGAGTATGCTGATATGAACAGTTGCATAGTTGAAAAGTTGCTTATGTGAATGTCAAAAGCTTTTGTTTGTGACTGCATACTTATGGGGATGTTGAACCCGTTTCCACGTTTTTAAAGTCAACAAAGGAATTTAGTTTCATATGTTCATTAGTTATATGTTGATGTAGCTAATTTCAAAGGATTTTAGTTATATCATTACTTCATGTATGTAGTGACCCAAAGAATTATTTTGAAGTTTTATGATAATTTCTTTTGCCATATATTTTGTTTCAGTTAGTCTATTGTGATATGAAGACAAAAGACATATAGCTCTAAATCATTTTTTAAATTTAGTATTGACTTTGTCTAGTAAAACTAAATAAATTGCATTTTGATCAATAAGCATCAGCATCTCATATTCTCATCTCATCATTGTTGAGTCAAAAAGGAGCTGCAAGCCACTTTCCTCACAGCAGCAAAAGGAAGAAAAAAGAATGCAGCAGCAGCCCTCGTGCTCATTTTTTAAAAAATTATGGAGTACACCTTTGTAGAAAAATGTTGCAATTCCCTTCTATAAATAAAGGGGTTCTGATACACATCAAAAACACCACAACGAAAAAGAATAGATACAACACCAAGAGAGAGAAAGAAAAGATAGAAAAAGGGTGTGAGCAAGAAGCAATAATTTAGCTTCTGTGTGTATTTGAGTTGTGAGTTGTGAGTGAGTTTGAGAGTGTTGTAAACACGAGTGTATTTTTTCTTTCTAATAAAATATCTGCAGTAGTCCGGAGACGTAGGCATTATTGGCCGAACTCTTGGTGTGTCCAATTTTTATTTTTTATTTCACTTTTATAGATCCGACTTCATGGAAAATTCAGCGTATTTTTCCCAACAACTGGTATCAGAGCCAGATTGTTAATTCTGTATTTTTGTGTGGTGTTACTATTCCGTTGAAAAACGTGAATAGTACCAATTTTGTCGGCACTACAAATTTATCTACCGACGTGTTTTAAAACACGGTAGTTCACAAAAAATACAAAAAACGATCCGGCAGAGAAGTCAGATCAGAGTCGAAGTGATGGCTGCAGACGAAGGAAAAATGAAAATCGAAAAGTTTGATGGTGCGGACTTTGGCTTTTGGAAGATGCAGATCGAGGATTATCTGTGCCAGAAGAATATGTATCAACCACTCACAGAAAAGAAGCCAGAGGACATGAAGGAGGAAGAATGGAGTCTCCTTGAAAGACAAGCTCTTGGAGCCATCCGGCTGACGTTATCCCGTAATGTTGCTTTTAACATTGCAATAGAAAAGACGACAGCAGGCCTCATGAAGGCTCTTTCCAACATGTACGAGAAACCATCGACCTCAAATAAAGTTCATTTGATGAGGCGATTGTTCAACCTTCGGATGACCGAAGGTGCTTCGGTGGCACATCATCTCAATGAGCTCAACACCGTCACAACCCAGTTGAGTTCAGTTGAGATCGAGTTCGATGATGAAGTACGGGCTTTAATACTTTTGTCTTCCCTACCAGAAAGTTGGAATGCTACAGTCACGACTGTGAGTAGCTCATCGGGAAGCAATAAGTTGAGATTTGATGATGTCCAAAATTTGGTTCTCAGTGAAGAGATCCGGCGGAGAGAGTCGGGTGAACCATCGACCTCTTCTGTATTGCATACAGAGTCAAGAGGAAGAAGTTCAACCAAAGAAAGCAGGCACAATAAATCAAAAGGAAGAAGATCCAAGTTCAGAAATCATCGTAATTCCCAAACCTCGAAGTCGATCGAGTGCTGGAATTGTGGGAAGACCGGACACTACAGAAATCAGTGCAAGAGTGCACCGAAGGGTCAGGAGGCAAAAGAAGAAGCAAATGTTGCCTCATCCTCAGGAGGAGATATGCTGATATGTTCTTTAGAGAACAAGGATGAGTCTTGGGTGTTAGACTCTGGAGCATCCTTTCATGCTACCTCACAGAAGGAACTACTTGAAAATTATGTTTCTGGTAACCTTGGTAAAGGTTACCTTGGTAATGAGCAATCATGTGAGGTTGTAGGGAAAGGTGCAATCAAAATAAAGTTGAACGGGTCTGTATGGGAATTGAAAAATGTCAGACATATTCCCGACCTGACGAAGAATTTAATCTCCGTGGGCCAGCTAGCCAGTGAAGGCTACACGACAATCTTCCATGGTGATGATTGGAAGATTTCAAAGGGTGCGATGACAATTGCTCGAGGCAAAAAGAGTGGTACTCTTTACAAGACAACAGGAGCATGTCATCTGATTGCAGTTGCAGTAAATGAAAGTCCCAATCTATGGCACCAAAGACTTGGGCATATGAGTGAAAAAGGGATGAAGATCATTCACTCAAAAAGGAAAATTACCAGGCCTCCAGTCAATAGAAATTGACATGTGTGAAAGTTGTATACTTGGAAAGCAGAAGAGAGTCAGCTTTCAAACAAGTAGAAGAACTCCAAAGAAGGAGAAGCTTGAGCTCATCCACTCTGATGTCTGGGGTCCAACGACCGTCCCATCCGTTGGTGGGAAGCAATACTTCGTGACTTTTATCGATGATCACTCCAGAAAGGTATGGGTTTACTTTCTGAAACACAAGTCAGAAGTATTTGAAGCTTTCAAGATATGGAAAGCTATGGTGGAAAATGAGACAGGCTTGAAGATCAAGAAGCTCAGATCCGACAATAGTGGTGAATATGTAACCACCAGATTCAAGAAGTTTTGCTATGAGCACGGGATCAGAATGGAGAGAACCGTGCATGGTACGCCTCAACACAATGGTGTAGCTGAGCGTATGAATCGAACGTTGACTGAAAGAGTCAGAAGCTTGCGTGTACAGTCAGGCCTACCAAAGCAGTTCTGGGCAAAAGCAGTCAACACAGCAACTTACTTGATCAACCGAAGTCCATCGGTACCACTGGATCACAAGTTACCAGAAGAGGTATGGAGCAGAAAAGAAGTAAAACTCTCACATCTTAGAGTTTTCGGGTGTGTAGCATATGTGCACATCAGTGATCAAGGTAGAAACAAACTTGATCCAAAATCAAAGAAATGTACTTTTCTTGGTTATGGTGAAGATGAGTTTGGCTACCGCATATGGGATGATGAAAACAAAAAGATGATCCGCAGCAGAGACGTCATCTTTAATGAAAGAGTGATGTACAAAGACCGGCATAATACAGGTGCCAACTACTCAGAAGCGAGTGGGCCAGTTTATGCTGAGGTGGAAGATATCCCAGATAGTCCTATAATGAGGAGTCCTCAGTCAGAGGAATCAAATGAAGAAAGTGAAGTGCAATCAGAACCTTCTACTCCAGCTCCTGTATTGAGAAGGTCCTCTAGGCCCCATGTGCCTAACAGGAGATACATGGACTACATGTTGCTGACTGATGGAGGTGAGCCTGAAAGTTACATAGAAGCTTGTCAAACCACGGATGCTAGCAAGTGGGAGCTTGCCATGAAGGACGAGATGAAGTCCTTGATCTCAAATCAGACATGGGAACTAGTCAAGTTACCTATGGGAAAGAAAGCACTTCACAACAAATGGGTGTATCGGGTGAAGGAAGACCATGATGGTTCTAGGAGATACAAAGCCCGACTGGTTGTCAAAGGATTTCAGTAGAAAGAAGGAGTTGACTATACTGAAATCTTTGCTCCAGTTGTAAAGCTCAATACTATCAGGACTGTGTTAAGTATTGTGGCTAGCAAAGAGCTCTACCTAGAGCAATTAGACGAGAAGACTGCATTTCTTCACGGAGACCTAGATGAGGAGATCTATATGCACCAGCCTGAAGGTTTTTCAGATGGAAAGAAGGATATGGTGTGCAAATTGAAGAAGAGCTTGTACGGCCTGAAACAAGCTCCAAGACAGTGGTATAGGAAGTTCGAAAGCTTCATGCACAATGGAGGCTTTCAGAAGTGCAATGCCGATCACTGTTGCTTCTTTAAGAAGTATGAGTCCAGCTATATCATCTTGCTACTTTATGTCGATGACATGTTAGTAGCAGGATCAGATATGAAAGACATCAGAAAATTGAAGATGCAGTTGTCAAAAGAATTTGACATGAAGGACTTAGGCCCAGCAAAGAAGATTCTTGGAATGCAAATCACGAGAGATAAGCAAAAAGGAGTTTTGCAGTTATCTCAGGCGGAGTACATTAACCGTGTTTTGCAAAGATTTAACATGGACAAGGCCAAACCAGTCAGTACACCTTTGGCCAGTCATTTTCGTCTATCCAAGGACCAGTCTCCTCAAACAAAGGAAGAAGAAGAGTTCATGGCTAAGATTCCTTATGCTTCAGCCATTGGAAGTTTGATGTACGCAATGGTCTGTACGAGGCCAGACATTAGCCATGCAGTGGGAGTTGTTAGCAGGTTTATGTCAAATCCAGGAAAAGTTCATTGGGAAGCAGCCAAATGGATTTTGAGATATCTACGGGGCACAACAGAAAAATGTCTGTATTTTAGAAAAGGAGATCTAAAGTTACAGGGCTACGTAGATGCAGACTTTGGAGGTGAAGTTGATCACCGAAGAAGCACCACCGGTTATGTTTTCACTGTTGGAGCCACAGCTGTTAGTTGGATGTCGCGGATACAAAAGATTGTTGCTCTATCCACTACAGAAGCTGAGTATGTAGCAGTG